TTGTCTAGTTTGTTTTCCAATTTTTCAATCAATAAACTGATGGCTAATACATTTCTTGAGAGTAATTTGTTTTCGGATTGTATTTGTGATAAAATTCGCTCGCGTTTACCACCGACTGTATTTCCAAACACATCCATATATAAAATACACACACGATTGCGTTGTACGTCGAACACGGAACACAATCTCTCGTTGACTGACGATTTATTATCCTTCAATGTCTTTAGAAGATATCCATGAATTGTGGGAGTTATCGAACCCATACCATTTAACATACATTTGGGTCTTGTTTCTTTTTATCACCTTTTCAATAAGATAACTATCCGGATATCTTGTTAATTGTAATTCTTCTTGGTAAAATCCCCCCAAAATCGGAGCGCCGGTACAGTCTTCAAGTAAGTAAGTCACAGGTGTCGTGTTGTTGACTTTTACAATAGTAAAAAGTTCACAGGTCCAACTTTCAATGTAACCCTTGGTAAAAATACTCTTGAAACCCGAAATTCTCACTTTTTGTCCAACTTTGAATTTAATTTTGGATTTAACAGAACGTTTTCTATGCTTAATTTTAACTGCTGAGGGGTTTTCATCAGCTTGCGTAGGTGTCATAGAAATAGACGAGTGAATGGAGTTATTGTATTTTTTCATTATTTCATCCAAAAATAAAAACCATTTGCGATTACCTCTAGCTGTAAACTCACGGTAAATATTCGTCTTAATTGTACGTATAAAACGTTCCGCAAATGAACATTTAACTGTGCTGAAAGTTGAGTAATGTTTAACATCATACTTTTCCATGAGTTTAGCGAAATGAGTACAATAAAACTCTTTTCCTCTGTCCGTATGAAGAAAGCTTGGATGACGATTGATAAAAATACCTGCCATAGCCTCAGCAACAGCATTACCGGTTTTAGTTTTTAGCGGTATGGCCCAAGCAAACTTTGTGAAACAATCGATGACTACCATTATGTATTTATATCCTTTGTTGACTTTGGAGAATGGAATAACTTCAAGCAAATCACATTCCCAAAGATCGTTTTTTCCTTTAACGACAACATGTCTTCTAACAAAGTTTTTTCTAGCTGGTCTATGCAATTCTTGAGCAATGTCTGACTTAGACATACTTTGGCATACGTTGAATAATACCAGCCTCGAAAAGCTCCTCCCAAATTGAGAGTATTTCGTTGGACACACCCGTGTTGCCGGCTGCTTGAGACGAGAGTAATAACTTGAGTCTCTCAACTAATTCATTTGGATCATTCCAAAATATATAAGTCTCTTTATACCCTTTCTGAAGCGACTTGGAAAGACCCGCTCCACTCGTAGAAAATAAACCACTTATGATATTCGCGTATTTCTTACCACCAACTTTGACTTTTTTTTTGTTTTTAGTTAAATGAGCAGAAGTAGCGACTAGTACTTGTTTATAATTTTTTAAATCCTCTTTATTGTATTTCTTAGGATCCTTGATAAACAATAGTTGAAGTAGTCCTTGAGTTAGTGGGAAAGGTGTGTTATCGATAAACATTGTTGATGTTTTTTCATCGAACACGACATTGTTGGATTCACCAAGAGATAATTGACCTTTGGAATCTTGCTTAACACCATACACTCTGTCTCTATTCTTAGATTTCAACCAACTGTTAACGTTGAAGTTATCAAGTTTTCCCACTCTTGTAGAAACACCATCCTCAACCAATGACGTATGCGAGCCTTCGTCCGTCTCGCTAATGACTTTATTATCCGCCACATAACTTTTGCCATTGTCATAAACTGATCGATCTGCAGATAAACGCTCGAGCGGTGAAATTATAGGTTTAAGTGTAGACGTTATCAAAGCATTGTTGTCCGCCAAACCCTGTTTTAAAGCGTTATATTTCTGTTTAATATTTTCTCTAGCTCGTATGAGTTCGGGGAGTACAAGCTTTGCATCGTCCATTGTGTCATGATAAGCGTTTCAATACGAATGCTGTGAAATCGACTCTCCATATCTTTTATATAATCACAAAGCAATCGAAACCACAGCGATATCGTCCTTCGTCTCTATTATCTTCTTTGCTGATCACCACAAAACCGAATTTTTCTCTATTCCAACAAGTCATGCAAAACTCCTTGAAACTCGCAAAGCTCATATCACCTGAACAATGATCATTGTACACATGCTTTAAGTTCAACTCGTCTTGTTTAAAGAGTATTATAAAATTTGAATTATCCCTGATCAAAAGTTTCGGGATTCTTGAGTAAGATTGTCCGAGATAAAAACAGTCTATATTGTTATGCCGCCCGCGAGAAAAAAACGATCTAACGATGTTTTGATTTTCACAAATTATATCATCAAACACCAGAATACTATTTTTGAGAACCTTTTCAGGAGTTACGACTTGCTCATTTTCATAAAAAGTAAACAAGCGCACCCCGGGTAGATTGTTTAAAATTCGTTTCAAAAGTATGTACTTTGGTTGATCAAGCGTCTTCGAGTAGATGTATACGTTTTCAAACTTAAGCCCGTTGAGATCCGTGAGCAAAGCATAGATTAGATTCGTTTTTCCACAGCCAGATGATCCGACTACCAAAGATCTTATTGTAGACGGGAATAATACACTATGTCGCAATCTCTTAGTTTCACACGACCCCGGTTGATCTGCATTGTGCACAGGAAGTTTCTGTTCTTGCTCTACAAATTTCATAGCTATATTATAGAACTGTCTCAAAATAAAACCGCATACGATGACGTCTAGTCGTACAGTGAAGTTCACCAGGGGTAGTGGTCTGTTAAATTCTGTTATAAATAACCTTCCGTTTGAACTACATTTACCCGGTTATAGGTAAGCTGCTTTAATAATAATAATAATAATACAATTATATGATATTAATCGTTCATTGCTGTTAGATATTGTGGACCCGGTACCAGACTAAAAAAACGTTTAAATCGTGGCGACAAGGGTATTAATTCTCTAGACGAAGCGTGTAAAACGCATGATATAGCATACAGCAAGAGTAACGACTTATTAGTTAGACACGCAGCAGACAAAGTTTTGGGGGAACGAGCGTGGGACACGTTTAAATCAAAGGACGCAGGTTTTGGAGAGAAAGCCGCTGCCTTAACGGTCGCAGGTGCTATGAAAGTAAAGAGAAAAATTGGTGCAGGTTGTGCCTTTAAAACTGCTGTAAGAGCAGCCAAAATTGCCTTAGCGAAATCAAAAGTCGGAGGCGATCTAAATTCGTTGTCGAAAACAGCTTTGGTGGCGGCAAAAAATGTATCAACCAATCATAAAACTCTAAAAATTGGAGTTAAGAAGACAAACAAGAGGAAGAAAAGAAAAACTAAGAAAAAAAATGTTAAGAAGAAGAAAAAAGTTAACAAAAAGAAAACATCACCTACGATGTTGAGTAAAGTACCAAGGTTAATACCAATACCTAAAGCTGGAGGAGCTTTACCATTATTACCGATTTTAGCAGCTTTAAGCGCTTTTGGAGCTTTAACAGGAGGAGTATCGAATGTGATAAAGACAGCACACGAGTTAACATCAAATAAAAATGCAATTGTACCCATCGGAAAAGGTATGTTCCTAAAACCTTTCAGTGGAGGAAAGTATAAAATAGAAAACGGCAAGTACAAACGACGGTTGAGTGATAGTGGGTATAATATCAAAAAGAAAAAGAAGACTTCAAAAAACTAGACATGAAGCTGCCCAGTGATGCAATGTACGACTTTGAAATCATTAAATATGCAAACGCGTTAAAAATACCTCACTTCAGAGGCGTATATTGCAAGAATCAGTTGCCTGCACGACCTAAACGATTAGAGTCGCTCGTCATTAATCTAGCTGACGATAATCATCCGGTAGGTAGCCACTGGGTTTGCTTCAAGAAAATCAAAAAGAGGGTTTACTATTACGACAGTTATGGCAATTTGAGACCTCCGATTGAAGTTGAGAAATATTTGAACGGATGTGATATAACGTACAATTACGATAACCATCAAAAATATAATACGACAAACTGTGGTAAACTTTGTTTAGAGTTTCTCTCACGTCACCAATCTTCTTCTCGAACCGAGTGATGTCTTCGATTTCAATGAGCGGTAATTCTACAGAGTTGGAGTGTAGTTTTTTTCCTCCAATACAGACACGGGCAAATAGTGAGATTTGTCTTTTGAGCTTGCAGACCAACAATGCGATTCCAAATATTTATGAAGGGTGTAATAAAATAGGAGTAAAGCAAGTCATAGGTGGTGTTGACAAGACTGATACAATTACTATACCTAAGGGATCTTACGAATTGTCGAGTTTGGAATCATATTTGAAAATTACACTCTCAAAATTAGGTGTTAAGACTTTTGAGCTGAAAGGTGATAATGCTACCTTAAAATGTGAGATGTTTTGCGATCAGGATATTGATTTTACATTGCCTGATAGTGTAGCCAGTTTATTAGGGTTTACTAATGCAGTATACAACCATGACGTTGTACATAAATCAGAAAACCCGATTAAAATATCACGAGTCAACTGTATAAAAGTCGACTGTAATTTGATATCAGGATCATTTGACAACGGATCACCCGGACACACGTTACACGAATTTATCCCCAATGTTCCCCCGGGATTCCAGATTAACGAAGTACCAAAGCACCCCGTTTATTATCCGCTAAATAGTACTTATATTAACCACGTGAGAATAACTCTTAAGGATCAAAACGGACGTCTTATCGATTTAAGAGGAGAAACTCTATCGATTCGTTTGCATATTAAACAACGTTATGGGTCTTAAATTCGGCAATATAAAAAGAAAGGTCATCAGCTATAGACCGCTCAGTGAGTCAAAGGGGCTTGATACACCAACGTCTGGTAAACATCGTCTTCGTCAACAACGAACGAGGAAAAAACATAAAAAGTTAAGCTCACTGAAGAAGAAAAAGAATAATAATAATAAGAAGAAGAAAAACAAGAATCTATCAACAAAAAATCTCTCCTTTTTAAAATCTCTAAACGTATTGTGAAAAAATGGACGGGTCTTATTTGGACGTTAAGGAGAAATTCGTTAACGAAACACCCATAGAGGATATGCATTACAGATCATACTTACCGTTTTCCAGCAGCGCTATGTCACGTGGAGATCAAATACGTATTGCTGTGCAAAATACAGACGCGTATACGTTGTTCTGTGAAAGTTACCTTTACATCGAGGGGAAAATAACCAGAGCCACGGGTGCAACGGGGAAACTGAGTATTGCACATAACGGATTGGCGTTCTTGTTCGATGAAATTTCATATGAGGTTAATGGAGTTGAAGTTCAAAAGGTAAAAGACCCTGGAACGACTAGTCTAATAAAGGGGTACTGCTCGTATTCCCTAAACGATGTAAATAATTTACAAAATGCCTACTGGTCACCAAATGACGATGATCCTTCTATTACATATCATGCGGATGATTTTAAGTTCTCTGGAAGTATACCACTATCTCATTTGTTCGGGTTTGCCGAGGACTATAGGAAAATAATGATCAACGTAAGTCAACAGCTCGTGTTGAACAGATCACTGAAAGACGTGAACGTGTTACGCGGTACGTTGGAAACGGGTGTTACGTGGGCTGATGAGAGTTCCAAGAAACTCATGAAATCAACTGTTGAGCTAACAAAAATTGCATGGAAATTACCGGTCGTGCGAGTCAATGACCGGGAAAAATTAAAACTATTAAAAATCGTTGAATCTCACAAATCGTTACACTGTGCATTCAGAAATTGGGATCTATGTGTTTATCCTCAACTTCCTGAAACGACTAAGCATTCCTGGATGGTTAAAACCACCAACAGTGTAGAACGTCCACGTTATATATTACTCGCTTTTCACACCGCTGATAATGCTGGACTGTCAGGGAAACGTACTGAAAAATTCGATTCATGCTCCATCACCAATCTCAAAGTGCATTTAAACTCAGCTGAATACCCATACGAGAATGGTAATGAGGACTTTAGTAGAGGATTAGTCACACAGTTTTATCAAAACTATGTCAATTTTCAAAAAAATTACTATGAGAAAAAACGATCTCGTCCATTGCTCAACCGGGATGAGTTTGTAAAATATGGTCCGGTTTTTTGCATTGATTGTACACGACAAAAAGATGATATTCAATCTTCTACAATTGACTTAAGAATTGAATTTGAATCATCTGCAAACATCGCAGCAGGGACCAGTGCTTATTGTCTAATTATCCATGACCGTATTATACAATATAACCCATTCAGCGGCGACGTTCGAAAATTATAATCACATATATATATATATATTTAACTAGCTTTAAAATACACAGTGTATGGTTTACTCTTTTAATTTTATTTGTATAATGTAATTATTTAAATTTTAAATATATATATATATATACATATATCACTTTTTTTTTTTTTTTTTTTTACAAATTGTATGAGATTAATATTATATTTTCTTTCATTACATGTAAGCATTTTTATGAGTAGTTAACTAATTTTATTTTCCTTTTTTTTTTTTTCTACAAACAAACATACATTAAGAAATTATATATTCTATATTTTTACTATTTACAATTTATGTACATTTATTTTTCTATTTTATTTAAAATTGACTAGAAAATATACACAATAAACTAATTAAATTTTCCTTTTTTTTTTTCTACAAACAAACATACATTAAGAAATTATATATTCTATATTTTTACTATTTACAATTTATGTACATTTATTTTTTTATTTTATTTAAAATTGACTAGAAAATATACACAATAAACTAATTAAATTATTATTTATTTTTTTTGTTTTTTCTCATGGCTTATTCCTCTTAATTAGCTATGTCCTCCTCCTCCTCCTCCTCCTCCTCCTCATTATCAGGTTGCATATGATTTTGTTGAAGTTGTTGCTGTTGTTGAAGTTCACTAGAAAAATACAATACATCGGGTTAATATTTGTGTAGTTAAAACTAAAATATTATTTTAACTCACATTAACTTGTAATGACCGATTGCCAATGTATGTATGCGGTCTGGTAGAATGACTCGCTTATCATCATGCCAGTTTAGCGTAATCTTCATGTTTTTAATCGTTTTAATTTCGTGCTTATATGATCGAATTGAAATGTTCTCCCTATATGGAGTATATGATGTATAATTTATTTTCTTAACGGTTGAGTCGATTGCCCTCAAGTGAATGTTTGCGGTCACCGCTTTTCCATTTGTCACCGCTAAAGCTTTGCCATCAGCGACAGATGATTCAGCGACGGCGAACAGACAGCTTTTGAAATCTGAGACGGTTAAATGATTTTTTACTACATGCCCTCTAATCCCCTTGGCTCTAATTTTTTCCGAGGACACTGATGTTACTAAAGTCTCTTTCTCGAAAGCATACGACTTTGGTCTAAGGCTGATAAATTCATAAACCGTAAGACCGTTCGTCTCATCAGAAAAAAGCCCTGGGATTTTCTTTTTTGCTACAGAGTATGCAGGGTGATCAGAGGGTAGATTTGAAGTATCAAACCATTTTAACATCTCAGGATGTGCGGTCACCTCAGCGTAGAAATCTTTAGTTTTCACCAAGTAAACAAGAGAATCTAAAATTAATAATTAAATATTATTTACATACATACATAATGGTAAACTTCATTCATCTCTCTCTCTCTCTCTCTTTCTATGTTTTTTTTTTATTACCTGTGTCTCCATACATAATTTCAACACGGTCCTTAAAATGTCGTTTCATCACATTATAATGAAAGTCATACATGAGGGTTTTACTTATCTCCAACACACAGAACCCAACATAAATTGGCTTACAAAAGTCAATTATTTTGTTTTCCAGTGTGAATGCAGATAAGTTCTCACTATATGTCGTGCAGTATTTAAAATTGTGTTTTTTTATTAGTTTGCTCGCACGTTTCGGAGTATTTACGAGTTCTATATTCGTCCTCAACCGCATACGCTCCATCATTTTACCTTGAAAATAAAGAGAAAACATAAAAAATATGTATGAACTTTATTATTATTATTATTTATTTATTAATTTTTTTTTTTTTTTTCATGTTATTTACCAAACACAGAGTTATTCATAAGCTTGAAAAAATCTTTTTCGAAGTCGTTTGCCGCCCCCTGTCGCAATTTTGTATTAAGCTCTATATACACGGATAACCACGCAGACTGCTGGAATTCTAAGACCCTATGCACCTTTAAAATATAATTTTTTTAACATTTAGTTTTGTATTTGTTTATATTATACAATTGTATTATTTTACCTTTTCTACCCGAAGCCCATTAGCAATCGCCTGTTTCAAGTTTAAATAATGTACTACATAATTTTCTTTCTTTTCAAAAGTTGTTAACAACTTTTTCACTCTTGAATTGGGCGGGCATTTAGTTTCTGGCAAAAATGGAAGCTCGTTATGTGCATCGTGGAGGCTCTCCGGGTATGAGATGTCAACCTCAAAAACTAGTCCTGTTGAGGAATGCTCATCCATACCATCTAGTCTTTGAAGAGTCTCATTAGGATCTTCTGTCACCCATTTAAAGCCTCCAAATGGCATGAATTGAGATAAAGCCCACCCATACAAGTTGTTAACATCTTGGTACATTATCCATGTGTCTGGGAGCTTCGGGTCGTAATTAGGTGCTTTCGGGTTATTAGCTTTCGCATATTTTAATGTCGACTGGGTTAATCCACCACGGATACCACGTTCAAACATAAGGTTCATCTCATAATCACTGAGTAATTCCAACGAGACACCTGTGCAGAGTAGCATGGCATCGAAGCTCAGACCTGGGCTTGTAAAGTAGTGAGCGGCATCTAAGTTGTATGTATGCATACAAAGGTTCCTAAACGCTTCGAATACATCGCAGAGCATTAGGGTGTCTATTTTTAAGTATACATCCGAATACTCGCCCAGTGTTTGACAACGAAACTGCTTCCATACTTTTAATGCATGATCATAGTCTTCTTGACTGATGTGGGATTCGCTGAGATCATTAAAGAACTCTTTTTTGTCCGGGAGTTTCCTTTCTTCCAACTTATCCCAATCAGAAGTATAAGAGTATGGATAAACGCCTTTTCGTGTCACCAAATTAATATCGAAGCCAGCAAACTCTTTTGCCGTCTCATGGAACAACCCTATGTTTGATGTGCGCAAATTATCCGAGAGGGAGGCTAAACTTGCGGCCATAAAACGGAAAGTATCGACAAAACGGACGGAGAAAGTGTTCGTAACGAACTTTGAGAACGAAATATACTTCTCCTCCGTGTTTGGTATCACCGTTATCCGTTTGCTGTCATTTCCTAATTGCCGGATGATATAATGAGCGTCATAACCGCTCATGTTATGCATAAAACACGGTACATACTTTGTTGTCACGAGCTTTAAGTTGCATTTATTGCATAGGGTCCGTCTAAATTTCCCTGTCAGATGGTCGTGGTCGGCTGTTTTGAGGTTGTTCTCTGAATACTGCGTCTTGCAAAACTCACATGCTGTGTTCGCAGTATGAGCAGCAACCTCTTGTTCACTCATTATTAAAGGCACATTAGTATTTTTTAAAAGCTCGCTAATTTTCATTGCCTCCTCGCTTATGTCAGCCACAAATCGTTTCGCCACTTCGTCGGGTTCCGATAACCTGCTGCCTCTGTGCAAAACTATTGACCTCCGAATGTTGTACATATCCAACAGTTCTTGAGGTACCTCATCTGATACTTTAACGATGAACGCATAGCTCATTGCGACATGTTCATGAAGTACCTCTGTGTTGGCGCCTATAGTTTTGTCGGACTTCACCAGCAAGCTCTCAAAATCGGCATAAATTGCAAACGGAACTTTTTGGGTTTTTTGCCATGCTTCGAATTTCAACTTTGTACCCTCCTCTGGCATTATTGGTAATACAGGCTTGTACTCACCACAGATTTTCTTATGCTGTAGGAGTGCTTCTCGCCCGTGCGGCTTGTGTAATTTGGGTATAAAGTTGAAACCTGTAAAGCACCGTTTGCAATAAATCATTTTAGACGTGTTTTTGGTCTGCTGGCACTGAACCAAACGAGCGAAATTGGTTATGTGCGTATAGTGGCTGACTTGTGCTTTGTTTGTAATAAGCAGAAGGTCGTGGTGGTCCTCTTTCTCATCATCAACTACCCGCAACGGGAATACTACGTGTTTTATTTCTCCTCCAGCTTCTTTTTTTTCCTTTAATCCGAACACATTCACCGAGGTAGAAGGATTATTTTTTTCAAATAATCTGATATCTTTAAGCGGAGTAGGGTAGGTTATACCAGAGAAGTCGTATAGTCCATCTACTCGTGCATAATTGGCTTCTATACGATCTCTGTGTACCCCTGTAACCCTTTTTGCCAGTATCGCCCATTGGAAACATTTCTCATCGATATTTTGTGGGTTAACTATTGCCCACCTGTTTCGAATATCTGCTGGCAGGGTTATATATGATGAACCCCCTAGCGGAGTATATTTGTATACCCCTAGAAGGAGTCCATCGATGTTTAACAGGGAAAAACCACTACCCCGCCCCGTGTACTCTTCTTCCTCGGTGAGTAATGTTCGAAATGCATTGTCAATTTCGTCCTCAATATTTGTGTCCTGGAATATCTCCTTTGCTCCAGTTTTAAACGACCTATTTTCTTCACTATTCTCCTGGTGTGGAATATTATAGGTCGCCTCCAACTTCAGATTGAATTTAATAGGAGATTCCAGAACACAATTCCTGAGCGTTGAGGCCAACTCATCCCTAATCAAATTTAAAAACATATGGTATCCGACCATTTGTTCTACGTTTTTTCTATAAAACCACCGAATGTTGCTTTTAAGGGATGAGCCCGTCTCCACAAACCCAACCTCTGATATGCTCCTTAACCGTGATATTTTCATACGCTTGCTTTTTTTAGAATTATCGTTATTGCTACTACTAGTAGAGGCATTAATAGTAGTAATAGGTCTTTTGTTTGCCGACGAAGACGGTCCTGCAGCACTAACTAAAAATAATATATACCTTTAAATATAAATTTAAATATACACGGTTTAAAAAAAAAAAAAAAAATTTTAAAATTTAAAAAATGTACCATTCATTGCCTGAGGAATGTTATGAACGCCTACGCCGACTAAAGATCCTATTGCCTCATTATAGTCAATACCATACTTGACTAGGTCTAGTTTAAAAATATCGAAAACAATATTTATTTAATATAGCATTTAGTAATTTAAATGAAAAAGTAAAGAAATACATAGAATATTAAACTGTCGGTACTTACGGTGTATTTTCTGTACATGGTTGGATAAATCATCTGTTCTAATAAACGACGCTAAGCATAACCGGCACGTATGTCTTATACCGTAATGTACTGCTTTCTTGTGTCGCACTACATTTTTAACCGACGTATACACTTTTTCACATTGATCGCACGAGAACATAATTGTTTTATTTTATAAACTACACGATATAATAAGTATATATAATATATATATATAGATGAAGCAGAAGAAAAACTTGTTTAAAGATTGAAGGCAGATAGAAGACTGAACGTGTAACAGTTTACTTCTTCGCTGCTGGTAGTATCTGTTTTTATAACAAGAGTGTCATAAAAATGTTTAATTTTATGTGATCGGTGGGGGTAAAATATAAGAGGACTCTTTGGTAAACAAAAATATGAACTTATTACGCTCGCAGCACCTGTTTACTGGATATTAAAAAAAAAATATGTTAACGCGGCTGTATACACACACGCTTGCACCTGTTTACTGTAGTAAGTAAGGGTTAAATTGCATGTGTTAGGATAAGAAAAAAAAGAAAAAGAGAAGAGTTTGCTTCTCACGATGCCCACCCCCAACCCTCTCAGTGAATGTGTATAAAAACAAAAACATCTGCTTTTTAAGCTCGCTGCACCTGTTGTTTTCTACTATATAATTACTGAAGAAGATGAAAAAGATGACGGAGCTGTGAAAAAAACTTTTTCAGAGATCGAAGGCGAACAAAGGACTGATCGTGTAGTAGGCTACTTCTAAGCTGATGCTGTTAGTAACATTAAAAAAAAAAAAAACAGAAATGCTTGTTTTATAACAAGAATGTCATAAAAAAAAAAAATGATCAATTATTAAAAAAAAAATATGTTATCGCGGCTGTATACACACACGCTTGCACCTGTTTACTGTAGTAAGTATGGGTTAAATTGCATGTGTTAGGATAAGAAAAAAAAAAAAAAGAGAAGAGTTTGCTTCTCACGATGCTCGCCCCCAACCCTCTCGGTGAATGTGTATAAAAACAAAAACATCTGCTTTTTAAGCTCGCTGCACCTGTTTACTGTATAGTAAAATATAATATCACAGACGTGTCTACACCTGTCGAGGACATCTGGATGCGGTGGTGGTGGCGGCGGACAACACTTGGAGGGGCGGACTTACTAAGCAGAGGGGGGATAAGACGGGGTCAAGGGGACTGGGGGGGGGGGGGGCTTAACTACAGCAGGGCGCGGACAGGACGCGGGGTACAACTATGGACGGGGGTTGCACCGGTTCTTACGGGGGGTGGAACACTATAGACGGGGATGGGAGGGGTGGGGGGGACTACTATAGACAGGGGTGGGGGGGGAGACCTATGGGTGGGTAACCGGATCCCCGGATCCGCGGGGGCCCCAGCTCAGACAAAATATATCTACTCTAATGATTTAAGAACCGCGCCGAATAAAACGAACTTGACTATACATAAAAATAATTGCAACACTGCGTCATGCTCGTGTCCAAAATTATCTATACACTCATCTGTTAAGTACGTAGGAGTATTTATTGATCAAAATCTAAAATGGAATACTCACATAGAAAATCTAATAATAAAACTGAGACAACTAACGTACTTTTTTCTAACAGCTAAAATAATATTAAGCAAAAACTACCTTAGGATAACATACTTTGCAATGGTCCAATCTTAAACACAATACGGAATAATCGCATGGGGAGGCTGTAACTCTACCTTAAAATATAATTTGTCAGTAGCACAAAAGAACTTAATAAAAATTATCCTAAATAAACCGAAATTTTTCCTACAAATGCAATTTTCAAACAATTACGAGTACTAAATATTGAAAATCTTTACAAAAAACAAGCAATATGTCATATATATATAAATCTCAGTCATTTAAATATAAAACTAACCCTTATAAACTCAGGATAAAACACATTGACATCCCTTTAATCAACACCCAAAAAGCCTCTAATACATACACACAAGTTGGTTTAAGGTCTCTAGAGATTATCCCAGATGAAATAAGAAAGTGCTATAATTTCCCACATTTTAAATATAAACTGAAAAGTTGGTTCTATGATAATTTGTAAAAATGTCTTATTACAAAAATTCTATATATTAGTTATTATAATATTGTTATTCTTATTGTATACCCTCTATACTCCAAAACAGATTATTACTTTTATTATTATTATTATGATTACTTCTTTTTTCAGTTTGTTATAATCATATTCCCTAGTTTAATTATATTTTTGTTGTTGTTATTTTTCATAATTATTTAACATCTTGATAAGTATTCTTGCTCTACGATAAGAGGTTCTACCTCAGTGTCGAGCAAAGCTAGTAATTTCATTATCTATTTAATCTACCTTGTAACATTTCTACTACTAGCAAATAAAGATTATTATTATTTACATTAAAACAGTCGCCTGTTTCCGATAAAAAAAAAACAATAATACAATATTGGATTACAATTTTTAATAAAGTATGCAAGTTTAAGATACAATTAACTTAGTAAATGGTTTCACAAAAAATCTGTAAAACTAAAATATAAAATAATATTTTTAATTAACTTAAAATTCTTCTACATCGATAAAAGAAGTAATTTAGTGAAAAAAAAAACAGTACAGTAGGGTCAGGGCATAGTGGGGACGGGAAGGTCACAGGTTTTCGGGAATTTTTAAATCTTAATGTGATAAAATCACTTTCGAATAAACGCTTCGATGCAAATCAGTAGTTAGTATTTTTTAAGCCAGTACAGTCCAAACCAAGCGCAGTATAAACCAGCAAAGTTTGAAAGTATTAAATTGAGGCGTTGTATATTTTACAAAATAATCATCAAAGCGTTAATTTTGAAAGTGATTTTATCCGACAGGACAAGTGCACTATAGTATAGGCATAATGAAATGAAAGCAACGAGGGGACGGAGAGGTCGCAGGTCAACAGGAATTACTATAAATAAAAGGAATAATATTGAGTAGTAATAGAAGCAGTATCTAGTCATAATACAAAGTATTATCATTCATGATTTTTAATTATAATTAAAATATATCTTTATTTGGACATAGTAATAAAATAATGAAATATTTTATACAAAACTCAGGGCTACAAGTTGTAAACGAAAATATTAAAAATAGCGTAATTTAATTTAAACAATCAAGCGTGATTCTCTTTAGATGAATAACAGTTTAAAAATATGCAAAACATTAGTTCGAAAAAAATTATGCTATATGAAATTAATTTTGGGACGGTTGGTCGGTCAAGAGAAACTTAAAATCTCATGTCATTTTAAATGTTCCTATTCTTACATTGACCATCGTAAATGTATTCCATATGATATATTTTGTGCACCATAGTCTAGAGTGTTGACAAACTAATAACTAAGAAGGGATCGTTAAATCTTGGCGGGACACCCTGTATCGGATAGTGCGTCATGAGCGTCGAAAAACATGTTGTTGTACATGGGTTTCTTCGCACAAACCGTAAAATATTTTTTTTAAACTAGTGCTAAAAAACATCGAATAGCAGTATACTGTACTTAAACTCAATAACAACAAACAAAAATCGAAAAAAATATGTTTTGTGCGTCCATATTTTCGTGAAACTAGAAAAACAAAGTACAAGTTTTACCTAAAACTTAGTTCATATAATATTTAAAAAAAAGGAGCGATTGTTTTTTATGTCTAATTATCGATATAAATCAATATTATATTTTATAGCAGATAAAAAGGATACTGTTTCATTTACAACCCATCAAATACTGATTTAAATTTAAATACAGGTTTAATTTAAATTATGGAGTACAAACGATTAAAACATGAATCCCGACCATTACAGCTTAATTTAACAGGACATTGATTATGTGTATTTGGGCCACTATGTTTTATCAAAAAAAAAAAAAACCAGTTTAGTTGGGTCTGGGCATAGTGGAGACGGGGAAGTCACAGGTTTCCAGGAGTTATTTAATCTGAAAGTGATAATATCACTTTTGAATAAACGCTTCAATGCAAATCAGTAGTTAGTATTTTCAGACCAGTACAGTCCAAACCAAGCACAGTAAAAAACCAGCAAAGTTTGAAAGCATTCAAATGAGGCGTTGTATATTTTACAAATAATCATCAAAGCGTTCATTTTGATAGTGATTTTATCCGAAAGGACTAGTGCAGTATAGTATAGGCATCACGGGATCAAAGCTACGAGGGGACGGAGAGGTCGCAGGTCTACAGGAATTATTATAAATACAAATTATAAAATTGAATAGAATTAGGAGGAGTATCTAGTCATAATACAAAGTATTATCATTCATGGTTTTTAATTATTGATAAAATATATCTTTATTTGGACGTAATGAAATATTTTAATTGTAAACTGGTACACTTATTTTGTTATCAGAAAAACTTAAAATCTCATGTCATTTTAAATGTTCCTATTCTTACATTGACCATCGTAAACGTATTCGATATGATATATTTTGTGCACCATAGTCTAGAGTGTTGACAAACTAATAACTAAGAAGGGATCGTTAAATCTTGGCGGGACACCCTGTATCGAATAGTGCGACATGAGCGTCGAAAAACATGTTGTTGTACATGGGTTTCTTCGCACAAACCGTAAAATATTTTGTTTAAACTAGTGCTAAGAAACATCGAATAGCAGTATACTGTACTTAAACTCAATAACAACAAACAAAAATCCAAAAAAATATGTTTTTGTGCGTCCATATTTTCGTGAAACTTAGAAATACAAAATACAAGTTTTACCTAACAAAACGCTCAGTTTATTACTGCCGTGTGATACACAGTTGGAGTGTTTTGTAATATTAAATATTTGTTGAAGTTAAAACTAGATCATGTCGCTTTTTTGGCCATTGGTATTGCTGGTTATCGCTAACCCGTTGATAACAGCGGGAGATCAGTGTAAACGTCAAAAATTCGCAAAGGATAAAACGAATGATCACTATGAAAAATTGCTGAAAATAGATACGGGATACTCTCATAAACAGATAACGGATAGTTATGCTGCACAAAAGAGAAGTCGAACGTGGACGCCGAAGACAGCGATCGATGATGTCTATGGAAACCTGCTGTGTAGTTATTTGTTCAATTGTAGTCATTACATTAATCTGATCAAACTGCTGTTGTTCGCCAATGGTAAGGATGCCGTAAAGGAACTGACA